ATCACGTCCAGGTACTTGGTGTTGGGCCAGATACGTGTGATGATTCCCGCCCAGTCACCCTTGGAGCACTCGACCGCGATCAACCGGGCAAGCTCCGGGTCCGGTTTCAGAAGCTCGGAGACCGCGGCGCGGACGGAGGGGTCGGTGATCTTGACGGTGAGCGTCCCGACCGCGATGTCCTGAGAGAGCTCCTGCCAGTGGAGCTGGAGGAAGCGGATGGCGCGGAGGAGGCCGGAGGCAAAGACGGCGCCCACCCGTAGTACGTCGTGGCGCTGGAGGAGACCGCAGAGCATCTGCGCGTACATGCTCTGGAACGCGTCGGCGCAGAGGATGGCTGCCGTGGGGCTGGTGTAGACATTGTACGGGTCGTAGGGACGGCTCTTGAAATGCTCACTCTTGTAGTAGCTCGTCAGCACCGGCCGCGCCGTCAGCCCGCCGGGCGTCTTTGTCTCCGACTTCACGAAAAGGAAGTAGAGCCCCTTCCCCTTGTCCAGTCCAGGCACGTAACTGTTCCATTGCCGAAAGAGTAAGATTATCAAATATATTTCTTCACGAATTTGACGTACCGATCTTCTAATTTATGCTCAAGCGAGAAGGGAGAGAAGCAAAATACGGATACTCACAGGTTCATTACAGGCATAAGAAGGCTGTAAAGGAGCTGCCTGCGATCGAGCTCTTCTTTGATGGTGGGCATCAGCTTCCTCTCCCCCGCCGACGTCCCGGAGCTTTAAATTAAAGCCAAATAAGATCCCAATCGTACATGTTGGTACGCATTAAACACTATGTTACACCACCAGCAAAGATGAAAGATCAACTGTACCTGGTGAGGAACTCCGAGATGGGATGGGCGGAGAGGATGGCAGAGCGGTCGCCATTAGCGATCCTCTGGATCTCCGGCTGCAGGTCCTCGTAGGTGACCACGGGGACCTTGGCCTTAAAGGTGGCACGGTCGGTGACGCCGCCGAGCCCGTACCTCCGGAGGTACTCCGTCTCGGCGTTGCGCTTCAATATCTCCGCCAGCACTTTCTCCTGCACCGCGTCAGCGTTCGTGGTCATCTCCTCTATGAACCGCAGCTTCTCAGCGTCCTTCTCGTTGGCCGCCGGCCCGAGCTTGGCGGGGTTCGCCTTAGCGGGAACAACAGTCTCCACGGCCATTTTCACCCTTCGTTTACAGCACCGTGGATGGATTTGGAAGCAGGAGTGGTGGATGATCAAGCAGCACAAGAGGAGGATAAGGAAGCTTGGGAGCTCAACACAAGGGATGGAGGGCGCTGTGGCCACGGCGGGGGGCAAGCATTTTATAGGCGAACGACTGCATTAGATGGGCGAGGGTCCACCGGAACGGACGGACGAGCCGCGTCAGGGCGTGTAGGTCCACGTCGCGACACCGCAGGCCGCGCGGTCGCGTCGGGATCCGGACATCGCCCGACACGCGGGGCCCCGTCGGCCGCTCGCCAGCTCGGCACCTATGGTCGTCCCGGACACGTGGCGAGCCGAGGAATCCCAGGCTGGCGGACGCGACAGTGACCCCCCGCCGGTGGGCGGGGCAGCCCAGCGCCGGCGCCTTATGAGGTAGCATGTGAGGGCTTGATCGCTACATCACCGACGCCTCTGGACTCCGTTGTTGCATGGCTCATGTGCGTGGTCTATGCAAGGAAGGAAAGTTGTCTAGATAACGTGACTAGTTGACGGGCTCTTGGGGTCATGCCGTTTTAGGCTACAAGGCCGGCGGTGTCCCTTCTAGTACTGAATTCTTAGTACTAAATGAAGGGTTTCTGAGAAGATTCTGCAGCTGAGAAGCATAATAAATGGATAAAACAACAGCAGGATCGATCCAGGACTGCCATTCCAGATGAGATGAGCGAATTGATTACTCGAATTCAAGGGGAAAACCATCAACAGATGAGCAGCTGAGGCATCGCACATGTCCAACCCATAATCTACGACAGGAAATGCGTTGGGAGTGTCGATGGCCTATGCCTAATAAAGACAATGTTGAGAGCTACATAGAAGGTTCACGCTGGGGACGGTCCCATCGCGGAAGCTGCCATTGCGACTGTAAGCGATGCAAACACGAAGATCTACAAAAGGACCTAACAATCTTCTCTTGGTTCTTATTTTGCTGCGTCCAAGCTAGCCATCTTTGTGAGTAGTCTCGATGCGGCACGTAGCGTTAAGCACGTCGTCGACATCCTCGAAAGCAGCTGGTAGAAGGTTAATGGTGTTGCACTCATTTCATGGCTATCAATTAAACAGGTGAGTGTCGAACAAGAGGCCACCTAACAGCAGGAGATAGAGATACGTGTCCCTGTTACGAGACTTTGGCGCGGTCTTGCGAGCTCCATGGAAGTTAGGTTCCTGTATCTCTTTCGGAAACCTACACCGCAAAAGATCGAACACCTACCATCCAAGTTGCCGGAGCACAAGAGTTCTGCGTCGGCAAGATATGTTAGCCGGCCTCGCTAGATTCTGGTACTTGTAAACGAATTAAAGTCAAATGTTTTGCTTTCATTTCGTCCCGTCAAGGCAAATCTGAGCTGAGCTGACAAAACACGATTCCACAGAGAAAGACCAGCGTGATATATGATCCAAACCATCTCCTAACATCACCTTGGCATGACAGAGCTGACAACTCACGGAAGCGTCTCCATGTCACTGTAGCATTTCGACTTGTGATGGAATGGACTCAAACGGGCATGGCATCTTTGTATCTGGTGGAGTGCATCGGGCCTACTCCTGTACACATATAAAAGATAGGACTCGAATATATCTAGGACGCATACGTAGAGTGCTTTTCTAGGGCTGTAGCTCAACAACTGTACCTCACCATGCCCCCTCCACAGACTCAGCCTACTGCAGAGAGCCTGAGACCTTGGTCCATCGAGACAGTGATGCATGTAGATGCAAGCAACACCGCCATGCCTGTGTGTCGCCATAAATGCAACCTCAGATCCATGGCTTGGGCACAAGGACCTGATGGGTCATGTAGTGATTGTTTAATCATTTGGATTTACTGGGGGGTCCCGGCCATCTGCTACTTGGTCTCCCCAAGCGCTGACCACCACAATCACGGGCCAGCCAGTCTCCTCGGTCACCAGCTGAATCCCACTGTCTCTGTGATGACATATTTCAGTGCTTGCCTGCTGAAGAAGCAGAAGACCTTAAAATGTGAGCCCAAGCACTGGCCATTTCCCAGGCCGAAAGTAAAGTTGAGGCATGATGGTTTCGGATCATTTGAAAACCTGTGTCTCATCAGAATCTTGCCGGAAGACGATCTGCTTGAAATGAGCAAGACTGAGTTCACGGTTTGCAGGGATCAGTCTGTGTTGCTCTAGCCTTTAGGTCTCATCATGAGGAAAGTTCCCTATCTTTTATATTTATTTCTCTTTATCTGCTAAAGAGATTCTGTGCTTCCACTCCAAGATCGACCCATCTGTCTCACAAGCACGAAGCTTCATGTTTCCTTCTTAGAGAGAGAAGGGGAGGACTTATAACTCACATGGTGGAAGACTGTGCTTTCATTTTTCTCTGACCACTTGTGACGGTGACAGACATTTAAAAGTTTGATCTTACGCACTTGTAGTATTCTTCTTCTTCTTCTTCTTCTTCTTCTTCTTCTTCTTCTTCTTCACGACCATCATCTTTATGCACCTTGCTTCTCAGTATGCAAGTGTCGTGGCCGTATTCGATCTTAAACGTATATATACTCTACATCAGCACGGAGGATAAGATGGTTCAGCAGAACAGGAAGAACGTAGGAATCGGATGTTGTTAGGTTATGCATGATTACAGGGTCACGCATGCAATGAGCAGCTTCTCACAGACCAAAAGACAAGACTCTCTCAAGTACCCTTAAAGTTGTTGGGAGTGGCCTTCTTGCCATTAGAGCTTCCCAGGTTTTAAGATGCTGCCTCCCCTGTGACGCGAGGCACGAGACACATGGGAGAACCCAACGCTGGCTGCTCACCTTTGCCTCAGGTAAAAGCCATCTCAGAAAAGGCCGCGACAAAGACAGGGACTGAGGAGTTGTGCCTTTTGTTTCCCAAGTGCATGTCCTGAGACTCGGAATATAGGGTATTGAGATGGTTCGACGGAAGAGGAAGAACGCAGGAATCCACAACCGGATTCTCATATTGGCCATGACATGCTATCCAACACACGAACCAAGAGATTAATCGGCATAAACGAAACGAACCATGGGAACGCAAGCCCATGATCGAGTCCGTCAGGTCGAGGGCCTCTCCTGCACCACCCACACCCGCTGTCGAGGACGCCGCCGGCGAGGAAGCTTCGACCGTTGAACGGGTGTCTTCGTGGGCTTGAGTTCAGCCTTAGGTTACTTCTCCTATGGTAGTAACTTATCACCCTCGTAAAACTACCATGGATCATCTATTTGCCATGTTAGGCGGTATGAATATATACATAAGAGCATATTTGGATATTTAATCTGTTTGCTGTTGTTTTCATTTCAATAATACAATTGATATTGAAGATGTCAGACAGTTTATTAAAAGGTCCTGACTTAAATCCCATCTTCGTCACTAACCTAAACTCTTGCGAAGATTTAGATCTGCAAGGGAGATATTGCAAGGCTCTGTATCTACTCGTCTTATTTCACCAGTTTTTCTTTTTGGAAGAACCTGGGAAAAGACTACAGATACCCTTCATTCTTTTTGATGACACAGATCAAGAAGTCACCATCTACAGCTTGTATCTAATAATGTGAGATCATTGAGGACTCACATATATCCATCAGGGCATGAAAGAATTGATGAACAGTTCACCAAACCATAAACATAAGAAAGATGATATCTTTAAGCTGACGCCAAACTCTGGTAACTATATTTCTTATTGATTTGTAACAGCTTTAGAAAAATAATTACCCCTCAGGTTTGTACACCAATGATGTGAAGCCACAGTCCTTAACACATCAGAGAGAAATTGACTACCATCAGGAGACAAACATAATGCAACAGCAAGCATCACATTTTCATCCAACAGCCATAAAGATTTCATGTACGCTTCGTAACAGGTATTCGGTAACCCGCAGCTATGATATGATTCATCAGAGCAATTTGATTCAACAACTCCCGTATCCTCTGTAAAATGAGAAAGAACATACACCCTTTCAGCGCAGAGTGAAACATCTCATCATCTTGTTCATAGTAGCAAAAACAAGCACAACCACACAAAAGGGAAAGGCTCAACCTTTTACTAAGTAAATAATCTGCTAATGCTTCTGCAATCTACAAGCATCAAGTACCAAACAATCATTTCTTTCTTTTACTTATTTGTACACGACGATTAGGAGCATCTCTAATGCATAAACAAGCATTAACCTGATAGGAGTATCGCCTGAGAGCAAGGGTGGGCCAATCTTGCCATATGGTGATTCTGCCAAATACAATTACAGGTTCCTCAAAGACTAGGCCAGTGACCTCACTAGATACGCGACTCATAATTCTGCAGTTGGCTATTTGCCACACAAGCAATTATTTTATGTAAATACGTACCTCATTATCTCATTAATTTTTCATTTACAATCTTAAGTCCAAAAAAATTCACAAACAGAATCAGCTTAATATATCGATTTGCTTCACTTTTAAGCCTAAGGAAAGCAATACAGCCCTTCGGTTTGTAACAAAACATTTAGTCATTTATAGCTCGTCTATGCTGAAATTTACTTCACACTATAACTTTAGCTACTTAATTGTGGCAATCACAGAAAGCCATTAGCACATAGAAACATCTTCTAATCCACTAGTCGCAAAAATTGTTTCTCAAGGACTTCATGTGATTTCGAAGTAGTTATTGTTGTCAAAGCTTTGGCCAAGATACTACACAGATATTAAACTTCAAAGACGATACCACCAATTAATATTGTTCTATCAAGGCATTATTAAAGATGCAGATAATCAAGAAAATGACTGTAAAATCTGTTGGGGATGGAGGAGCAAGGAAACAATAAAAACAGAATATTATGATGCAATTAAAAAGAATCCTTTCGATCAAGAAAACCATTATAGTATTTAAATAAAAGGTAAGACAATAACACTTATAAGATATTCTCAAGTGCACACCCTCTATCTTGCTTAATGAACTATGATTCTATTTATAGGACCTAGAGGTAACTACCTTACTCCATCATATCACCCATGATTGAGTTAGGTGTAGGAACTATCCTATAACTTTTAGATCATGGGTCACTACTTAGAACATGCCTATAACTACCTAGAACATGGTAACTACATAGATAACTACTATGAATCAATTCTCAACAAAATCAACCTCAAAGCCTAATCATTATACATGCATTTCAATTCCAGGTTTGCAAAATCAGATTTCTCAGCACCATGAGCATGATTTTATACATACATTAAATTACCTCTAGACAAATGTCAATTGAGGTTATCATTTGCACTGAGAATTAACTCTACCAAAGTTACTAGAAACAAACAAAGCTTCTTGTCATGTTTGAAACTTTCAATACGCAATTTGTTTGTTACAATTATAGTTTGAAGAATCAGCATTGGAATTGAGATCAGCTAAGGATGATATTAAGAGGATCAACATGATATATGTGATCCGATCAGTGGGATTAGAATCAGATGAGATAATTACTAAAAAAATGAAAATAATTTTTTTTTAAACCATAAAATAAAATACGAGAAAACAAAAAAAGATTAGTAATTATCATATTCTAAAAGATATTAATCTTTTCAAAAAATGAAACCAAAATATAAAAGATAAAAAGACTATAGACATAGAACAATTTATTAGAAATACTTACTATCATTTATTACTAATAACTATTTTATGTGTACTAGAAAATGAATAATAATCATTGCACAAAAATATTAACACATCAAATAGTCATACTAAAAATCCAAAATTTATCAATTCGTAACTTAAAATATTACTATAAGTCACACTTTGTTTCTCTAATCACCATGTAAGTATAGATTAGATAAAAAAATGGGGCTTAAGTCAAAATCCTACGACTTTTCCATTGTCCGTAATAATTTTCCTATGTGCTTAGAGATTACAGGCTACTCCTTATCCTTCATTTTCCTCTCCTTATATTCTCTCTCTAGCTTACATGATGGTAGACATGGATATTATACTAATAGTTGTAGATGATAAATGATATAGTTGTGGAAAAAAACTGTAGTAGTGTCTCATTTATTTTACATCCATGGTCACATCTTTTGTCTTCCTACTATCTTAAGCTCCCTTTTCTTTTACTTCTCCTACTCTCCTCTTCTTTTTCTTCCTTGAGGTTCTGAAATTGGCTAAAATTGGCCGAGATTGATGTGTTGAATTGATAGAGAATTTCCACAGATTTATAACTATACAGCTAGAATTCAACCAAAATTGATGATGCAGATATGAGCCAATCATGAGTTCAAGAATTTTGGCCCAACCCGCGCAGGGACTAGATCTAAGAACTTGTGTATTTGCCTAGACCTTGACTGACTGAGGATTACCGAGTAGCTGGATGTATATTTTTTTTTCCCTTTAGCCTCATCACAGTCTTATGCTCAATGGGGCTTATCTTGATCATGGGAGCAGGAGGCGTGCACAGACAACGGACGGGTGGAGTTTTGTCTCCACAATTAAACATACGGTGCCAACTATAAACCCCTCAGCCAAAGAAGATACACAAATTTCTAGCTTTTGTTCCTAGTATTGCTTAAGCACTCTATATCTGTTGGTCACTTGCTTGATTTTAGTATTGGAAAAGCTTCCACCAGAGATAACTTTGACAAACACTTAGTTGTGTTCTATCTTGCAAGGGATCTGCAATAGAACCTCACCGTTCTGTCCATGCAATTAGCAGATCGAGGAGGACGAATCACATTGGACTCTCTTAGCTAGCCACCCCGTACTGAACCAAGAGATTGTTGTTGGGTAGGAAGAGAGGATTTTTACGGCATCACGAAGACTAGAAGCCTCTTTAATCTAAGATATCTGTTTCAATTTTGGATAAGCAAAGACGACGCATCATCATGGATGATGACACGATTTACGTATGCACCAATTCAAGCTATTCGTAGCATCCCTATACCAACGGAGGAAACTATATGCAATCATAACAAAGATTGACAATATGCTTAATTATTAGCAAAGAAATGATGGACTGCACGAAAATGGGGGAACGAAATTTACCTGATCCTTCTCTGAAAGTAGGAGAAGAAGCAACTCCTTCTCCCGCCGGTGCCTCCGTTTCATATACATCAAAGCGCCCACGAATCCGGCCACTGCCATGAACGACCAAACCCCCCTTCCGGTCGAAAGACCTAATCCTCCTCCTTTACAAAGTGAGATTTTTGCACGGATCACCTCAATCCCCGACCCGATCAACCGCCTAGCGGAATCCGAGAGCGGCCCCCATCGCGTAGGTCGCATCTCTCCCACCTCTTCGCACCTCATGGGCCAAGATGACGGCTCCTCGACGACCCTAACCTGTTCTTGAGGAGGTATGGGAGGGGCTAGGACTGGGAGTGAGTCGTAGCGGAGGTAGAGCCCCTCGTGGAGGGTAGGGGGGAAGATGGAACAGTCGTCATGGGTGCAGGCGTCGGTCGCTACAATCTCCCACCCCCTCCCGTGCTCCTCTGCCGGGAGCTGCGCCACCGCCTCCCACGCGTCCGCCGCCGTCGGCGCGGCGGCCCCCTCGCTGCTGCCGATGGGGAACGGCGACGTTTCGTCGGGGACGTCCATCGACGCTGCACAGCTTAGATGGGCAAGGTGAGGATATGGTAATTTGCTCCTCGCTCGATTCGTAGTGCAAGAAACGAATGGCAGATATTTTCTTTGGATTTTTTTTCCCTCTGAAAAGATCAAATAGTCCTCATGACGGCGAGATATGGGAGTTGCGAATCTTAAGGCACGGACTGAACCTCTCTTTGTTTCTTTTATTATTATCCCTCATGTTTTATTTAAATTTATATACTAGTAAGATCTGACAAGATTATTATCAGCTAAATTAACAAATATTATTTTTTATTTTATTTTTATCCAAATATAATAATTTTTTATCTGTTTATTTTTTTTTATATTTTTATTAATATAATAAAAAATATTACATCGAATCGAATACCGACACAACGATAAGACCTATTACTCGTGCAACAATACACTAATCAATCCGAATGTTTCAATAAATATAGTTAAATATGTATTTCAGATTTTCTTTATTTGTAAGAGAGTACTGATCAGATGAAATAAAACAAAACTTTCTTTCTAAAACCAATAATAACTATTATTTTTAATTAGCTAAAATAATAGTAACAAAGATAATGCAGAAGCTAACCCAAATTTGCACTGCCAAATTTTGGACATAAGAGGAAAACATATAAACAACCATTTGTGTCACTTGATGTTGTACAAATAATATACAACAACAACAATAGTGAGCGTCAATGGCATAAGGAGTGAAAAGGAACAGTACAAATGAACAATAATCATCAATGGATACATGCAAATACATAAATAGCACATAACAACAAAAAACTATGGGCTATAAGAACTCATTTTCAAGCCCAGCTTTGCTCCAGTACTCGAAGATCAAAACAGCAGAACCTTAAAGGATCTAGGTGACTTGATGTTCTTCTTTTAATTGGAGAAGTGCAACCGGGGTCTGATCGTAGGCTTTGATGTCTGCAGATGTAAGGGAAACAGTAGTCACTCTGCTATGGCTGCTATTTCTAGCAGCTGGAACATCATGGTTATGTTTTCCCTCGTATGATGTTATTACAGACTTGGGATCTGTTGGAGATCTCTCGATATGTTTCCTGACACGGCATCCTGCATAAGTGCACTTATAATAGCTCCTGCATTGTGATCATAAGCATCAGGTCACTCTGAAAATGCTCAATGTCAAATATTTTGATGCAGGTATCTGCTACTAGTTTAATGATAGAGATCACAGAAATAGTCCATGAATGAGGGCAGTCATGATTGATAGTCGGAAACACAAAAACATTTTAAACAAATCCAGTAGTTGATATTCATCAGGCTAAGTAGCAATTTTAGCCTATTTGCTTGCAAAGCCAAGGCTGTATGCACTCATGCTCCCTGCTCAGCATGTCTTTCACATTGGGCTGCAATCTTTATCAATCAATCCTCTTTTGAAGTTTATATTTTCACCCACGGATAACCTAAGACTTCTGGGAGCTTATCGAGACTTACCCGATAGACGCAGGGAGGGACGAGATTTACAGTATGACTAAATCAATTATATCTTCCAGGTCTGTCTTTAGGCAGCTTAGTGCTTCTCTGAATTTTCTTTTTTTTTTTCAGTTTGTAAGACACTCGTAAGGATCCACTAATACAGTGGAAAATTTTATAACCATCCAAAATGCTCGAATAACCTGGAAATTTTCTGCAAGCACTTATATGCAATCTCTATGCAAGATTTAAAGACATATTTCAAAATAACACCAAAATATACATCCGGTATACATGTAAAGCATATCAGTGTAGTTAGAACACATCATAAATTTATACTGAAAAAATATTACCTCGGATGAGGATTCCCTTTCACTGTTTTTTGCCCATATTTGCGCCATCTATAGCCATCATCCAAAAGATCAACCTCACTTGTTGTCTGCACAATGATCCTAGGCTCAGTCAATGTCCTTTGAGAAGATGCTGCTATGTTCCTGCAGATCAACCAAAGATAATATCACAAGCTCAAGAATAGGACCACAATAATTCTAGTATGGAACTCACACATACCTTCTTTTGGCATCATGCTCATTGTGATCTCCCTCGCCTATCCTAATTGCGGCCACTTCTTCACTGTCACTTGACCCAGATACTTGTTCAAGTGTCCCATAATTAGATTCTTGATCCCTTCCAGAAGCTGGAGCAGCAGTTATGTTGTTCAGTTTTCTGAGATTCCCATGACAACCCAGAAAGCCTGGTTCAAGATTGCCATGGTCCCCATTCGTCTCATCCAGTCCACAGGGCAAATTACTATCTACTTTGGTGCGTTTATTTGGTGTAGGACGTTGATGATTATGTTGGCCCTTGTAGATTATCTCGGTTACTTGACCATCTACAGAGCGTTCTACCTTTTTCTTAACTGGACATTTTGGATGGGTGCATTTGTAGTAGCTCCTAGGATAATTACTCCCTTTCACGACCTTCTGACCATACTTCCGCCAACTGTAGCCATCCTGAGCAGATTTATCTACAATGGTGGTATGAGGTTGAGATTTTTTATCAGATTGGGAACCTTCTGCAGATTCTACTGCAATATAACTTGGTTTAAGAGTAGGAATCTCCTGGATCGGTTGCTGTGACGAGGTGGTTGCCGTTGATGCTAGGGAAGGTGACGGGAGTTGTGTCTGATTCAGCAATCTAAAAGGAGACTCTGCAGCCTGGGCTGTGACTTGAGCAAGGGCTTTTTGGTGGGACATTGCAAAATTTCCCTACATGGATCCCAGTAAAAAACAACTGATGGATTTACAAAAAATAATGTTTCATAGACGAGCATTACTTGATTCAGAAACTGATACAAGAAGAAGATAACAAATATAATGTCTGCTCAGGTGCTAGTAGTGATTCTGAAAGAAAATTACATACAGAAGTCCAGTGACAAAGACTATCATGAGATATCAACAGTCTAATGCCTCCAAAGGTCAAGACTAGCATAAATTTCTCAGGTTTCCATTTTAAGTCATCAAGTCATAAAATTTTTTGCTCTAGCAGTTCCAAGTTATTTGCTCTGAGAAATAGTTAAGTTTTCAGGTTTAAAAGACAAGATGCCAGATCTTGCCTTCTTAGATAGATCACCCGAACGAAACATAAGAAACAACCCAAGTATGTATTTTAAACAATATATTGGCTTCTAGGCTATAACCAAATTAGCATCTTTAAACCTCTTTCTCATTACTGCTATCACAGATTGGTGTTGGATGTTCAAAATGCATTAATTTGCCAAAATTAACATAATACTATACTGTTAGAACAAGGGAGAAATGCCTTTGTAAAGTACATACACCGTTACATGGTCTCGAACAAAGCAAAGCTAAGTAGCTTTCAAGGTCCATATACACCATTCTACTTGTGCTCTAGAGCTGACTATTCCCTTCTTACTCATTTGTTACATATTCTTTTCAAAATTTTAATTTGAACCAAAGAAATATTAACTTTGTAGAACCAATAAGAAAGCCATAATTCCCGCAACAAGCTCCTTATTTGTCAGTTTCACCCTATCAAAACATTAATCTACTCAAAAAGTTTCTCTATTGAAGCAAGAAGGTATATGTCTGTTGAAAGCTACAAAAGACACTTGGATCATGGAAGAAATGGTTTTCTTGTTATCTTCCTCGATCAATTTTGCTTTGAGAAACACCAAAAACTAATTACTTGAGATGGTTAATAAGTTTCAAACCTAAACAACCAGATTGCTTCTTGAATAAGTATTGTCTTGAATAATGCAGTCTCGATGCCTCGATCGATCACCTCAGTAATGATCACATATTCGCTACATCTTATATAAACACTACTCTAAAGATCCATGGTGGCCAGCTGTTCTAAAATTTGTTTGCAACTATTCGAGTGCCAAACTACCACTATTCTTTATCAAGCAGTAGGCAAATGCATTTATATACTCCAATTAGCAAATTGGTTGTATCCATAGCTCACCATCAAATTGAAGGAACGAGCTCTGATGAGATCTGTCCTGAATATAGATTTTAGTCCTGATCTATACAAGAAGTTGAGATTAAATCATTCAATTTATGTACCATTAATAGATTTGAAATCTTTAGTTTGCAAGCATTTTGAGTAACCACAATCATGATAATGCCGATTGAAAATAAAAAGGAACAAACAAGTTGAACGATGAACTCGAGACATATCACTAAGTGCCATCCGAAATGCTTAGGGCATCCGAACCTTTCTTCTCTGTCAAAACAAGAGCGGCAACAAATTCGCATCTCAAGATCAGATTTTTAGGGAATCACATACCTGGCCGGGTGAAAAGAAGGCAGGAAAGTCGAGCAAGCTGGCAGGGCTCAACCCGGGCGGCACGGCGAACACCTGCGGCTGGCTAATAGCCAGGCTCGGCGGTCGATTCTGCCCCGACCGGACAAACCCACTACCACTCTCCGCTTCGTCACCGCTGAAGCGCTTCTCCGCATCCTTCCCCTGCTCCCCCGCGGAGCCCGCTGTCATCCTCACCGCCGCCGCCGCCACCGGAGAATTCATCGCGCCAGCGAGAAGCTGGGTGAAGGATCGGCACTCCGACTCGGAGTCCTCAGCGAAGAAGCTCGACACCAGCGTCAGCGGGCCAGGGCTCGCCTCCCACGCGCCCCAGCCGCTGCCGCCGCCTTGGAAGAGGCTCTCGAGGGAGGGGCGGGGAGGGAGGCTTACGGTGGGCCGCGGCGGCACCCCCGCCCCCGCTTCTGGAACAACGACGACTCCGCAGCTGCTATCGCAGCTCCCGTTCTCCGCCATCACATTCGTATCGAATAGCGCTCTCTCACTCGATTATTGCAGTTAAATATGAATGCGAGCTAAAAATGGGAAAGATAAAACCCCCATAGTTGCCACGTTAAATTACCATATTTACCCTTATCCCTCCATGCCGTATGCCCGAAAACCGACAACGTTGGAGGGTATTATGGGAACTCTGTGGACGTTAGTTGGCGGCGGCTGCGAATGCGAGGTACACTGGTGGGGGCACGCGTCAGGGAGTGAAGAAACAGCGGTTGGGATATTTACCACGAATCCGTACTATAATTAATGCGAAAGGACGTGCAAAAACATATTATTGGATGACGCACGTGTTCTGTCAATGCTGACAGATTCTGGATCTCCTACAAGCAGTTCTCCACTAAATTTCACCGGAAATCCGCTGTGGGAGACGAATCAACAGATCCCGGCCAACGCGTCCATCACGATCGATACGCGAGGAAATGACGGTCATGATCGTTGTGGATCGATCAATTATCTTCCCGTCAACCACTGCACTGTGCCCGTACTTTTCATTCTACGACTGCCCCCCTGTGGTTTCAAGTTCAAGACTAAGCAGCTCGGAAGACACAAGTTAGGTCTTGTGTTGTCGCTGTCTAACACGTATGGGTTCCGAGCAAAGCTAATTTAAGTTCAGTGTCTGAACTTATCAGAAAGATTGATAGCAGAAGAACGAGTCTGATAATATCGCATATAATAAAAAACTATGTAGAGATTCGAAATAAAAAAAGTTATAATATATTTAAATCGTTGGAGAGAATCTTAGAAACATATCGAGATTTTTTTATAATGAGCTTTGATAATCATCGATGTTAAGCGAGAAATTACTCGATCATTATGGTTGATGTATCAAGATGACCCTACGACTTTGAGTTGATGCGAAGTCGGTACTGATGGACATAATGTTCGACTGATGTGTTGAATTGATAAGGTATCTAACGAGATAAAATATGGTGTTGAATTATTTGTATGTCAAACTCTTTATCATTAGTAAAAACCACTAGGAATGTCTTCTTTTTTCGTCACTTATAATAGGAATATTCATCTCAATTCGGAACTGTGGATATGTCATAGTTCGATTATGTCAATAAATTTTAATTTTTTTTGTTACGTAAAAAATTTTCTCTAACCACGTGCGACTACGAGACTAACCATAAAATATTCACATGAGCATTCTTTCGTTTCTCTCGTCACTCTTATTGTCGAAGAAACTATACATGAAAATATCATCATAGAAGACCAAAATACTATGTGTTATTAGAATTTCTTGCATAGATCAAACTCAAATTAAATCAAGTTGGCCACCGTGGTTATCAATCACTAATCCTTATAAAAGCTAAAGAAACCTAACATAAAAAAAATAAAAATTTCAAATTGAGATGTGGATAGAAGTCGGAACATGAAAGATACCGTGAGGAGAAGAAGAGAAATATATACTCTCTTATGCTCCACTTAAATTCATTCTAAACACCACATCACATCCTAATGGAATTCAGTCCTTGGATAATCTATATATATATAACAAATCAAGGCAAATAAAATTCATGTGATTGGAAAATTTTGCTCCATTATTATAGTTCAACAGCACAAGCCTTAAGATGTTAGTTTAAGTTTGACTGATCATATCAAAGAAATAAATCTTACTGGTAAAGAGAAATATATACATTTGATTGAGAGAAATAATATAATTAAGATTATTTAAATATCCTTAATTTAAAATTTATTATTATTTATCTAAGATTATATATATATGTTAATTTTGATATTATAGTTATTTTATATATATTTTATCTCTTTCTATATGTATCACAACAGGCGAAGATAGGAACGAAGGAGAGAAAAAGACCGTCACAGTATGTCCTTTACCACCAATCTCTCACACTCGCGCGCGTGGCCTCACATCTTACCTTTCCCTCAGTAACGTGTGTGTACGGACAGAAATAGCCCACGCTGTTCACGCTTAGAAACGAAGCTTCGCGAATCATCTCATCCGATGCCAACCACACAAACTTTGGAGGATAGGATATTTGTATTGGAAGAAGAGTCATCACCCAATTGACAACCACATAGTCAACAACTACTACATAGTGGCCATCTCTCCCTTATCCTCTCTATTTGGTGGCTTCAGAACTCCGCTTCCATTCCCCTTGGATTCTTATATCTCTGTCCTTCGCTGCAATCTTTCCCTTTTGTTATCATTAGTTCCATTCAAGGCCGGCAAATCTCTCGAAAACCCAATCGATCTTTGATCCGAAGCACCTTCCTATGGATTCCGATCATCCTGCCAGTGGAGAACGCAGCGCGCAGAGCCACAGGCATCAGCCAAATCCATCGCATCTCCTCTCCAGTGCCAAAGTGGTGGCCGACGCAGCCAGCTCTGCCTTCCGCCACGAGACCGACAAGGTCGATAAGACGGTGGCGGCCGGAGCCGCCGCCGACTTGCTCGGCGCCGCATCCCATTACGCGAAGCTGGAGGACGGGAAGCTGGGGAAGTACGTGGAGCAAGCCGAGAGTTATCTCCATCAGTACCACTCGTCCCACTCCGCCCATTCATCCTCGGCTGCGGCGGCGCATTCTTCTTCGACTCACTCCGGCGGCGAGGCCCATGCTGAAGGCGGCGGCGGGTTGGAGGACTACATGAAGATGGCTCAGGGCTTCCTGAAGAAGCATTGACATCTCAGCCTCTACCTTCTGTGGTCTATATATACTGGATGATGATTTTAGCCTGTGTGTTTGCTTCCAACGATGTTGTAATTTGTATCGTACAATGAACTCTCGTTATGAAGGTAGATCGACTGGATTTTTCTTCTATTTCTTCTATATTTATGATTGTATACTCTGATCATGAGCGCCTCTTCTTCTTCTTCTTTTTTCTTTTGGTACTGTTCTTGTCGTGTATTTTCCTTCTTTCAATGAATTAGTGGTGTGATAAATCCATCCTTCCAATCCCAAAAATAAAAACAAAGTGTTTCTCGATCATTAGCAGGTCTCGATTCTATTAGATTTCACCTTTGTTGTGCTTCGTAGATACAAAGATTAACAAGATCGAAAACTAAAGGAAAACAAAACCTGTGATATCTGCAATTTTGGAGAAATCCATGAATTGCTGCATTAGCTAAAATTTAAGGGATCTTTTGGGCAGTGAAAGATGGATCAAAAAGTGGCATATTACCAGATTTCGTAGTTAATCGATATTAAAAGCTAATAAGAAGCTTACACTCATTGAAGTCAGCAAAATCTTGTGCAGATTTCTGGTGATTGCCCCTTTTAGATGAATCATCCTCCCCTTTCAACTCGATTTGATGGAATGGTCTCATCTTAGAGGAACGAAATGCTCCACCGTATGTGGTGCGGCTTCCATCATCCAATCCAATGGTGTGTCCGCCGTTTGCGTGACAGAATTGTTCTCTTATCATGCGTGGTATCAATCAATCGTGTGGTGCGGTTGGTCTGAGCCGAGCGGTCTGAATTAAATATGCGAGCACAGCCGACACTGCTAAGCAATATCTGCTTCCTCTTCTCTCTCTTGCCGTAGTTTCCTGCTGTCGTCTCTCCTCACGGAAGGACAACTGGACGGTGTCGGATTCGCCTGTCGGACGAAACTGCCCCCGGAAAAGGACAAAGTTTGGACGAACTTGTCCATGGATCCGATGGTGTTTCTGTGATTCCGCGCTCTGTGAGCGGCTGTCTTTTTAGCCCACTGCTCTTCCGTCGTCGCTAGGCGCTCTGAGACGAGATCGCCCCTCTTCTGAGCTCTTCCTCGACTGTGACCGAGGGGTAAACGAGAGGGTTTTCTCTTCTCAGTCTCTTGTGCTCGGAGTAGGGAGGAGCGGGAAGCGGTTTGATGCTTCAGGTGAGAGATTTTTTTTTGGTTTTATGCATGATTCTCCCGAAAAAAAGTATGATTTTTGGTTTCTTTTTCCTAATTTTTGAGAGTGTTGTGATTGATCGGCTCTTTCCCCCCTCATTTGGTCGATCTCTCTCGATCCGGGACTGGAAATCATGGGTGGGGTGGGAATGGACTGCATGCATTTTGGGAACTGTTCGGATCAAGGAATTGTAGGGTCATTTGGAGAAGAAACTGGCGGCTTGAACCGATCGGAAGTTTAGATGCTCTGGATCGGACAAGAAAACCTGGAGAAAAGGTTATGTCAATGTTGATCGGTGGAGAAGAATTTGAACCTTATTTCTGTAGCAGAGGCCGGATTGAAGAATCGAGTCCATGCGATCGTTTTTTCTTGCATCATCTGAATAAATGCATGGGTTTTTAGGTATAGATCTGCATGAATTAGTGGAAGCATTTGTCGAACATTTCCAGTATCATGTGCATTAGTTTTATGTTATGTTATGAAGCCATCCAACTGAACAGAAACATTGCTCATGCTAAGTAAAATGCAAATTTGGAATCGATCAGGAGATGCAATTGCAACATTAGTAATTGCATGTGCTACTATTTTGGTATAATCTAAATATTTGCACTTGTTCCTAACATGTATTGGTTGATGTGGACTTTGTATCAAGCATTGCTTGTTTGTAAAATGAGTGAACCTTTGAAAGAAGATCATGTGTGTTTTTTTAGATGAGAGTGAGGAAGTTACTCATGGAACAGTGATTTTTTACTTGCAGAAGATGAGCAGGTTGTTCGATCAGTGAGCACTTGTTTCCAGGAGAGGTATCGAGGCACGACTGTGTAATTCGTTGTGGATTGTTGGCAAAATGTTGGTACCAAAGCAATATCGTTGCACCCATTCGGCTGCTTGTGTATGCATCAAAGGTCACCTGAGCGAGGATGCCATCTTTCTTGTTTTTGAGCATCTGAACTGGAATCCTAGATTGATTGCGCTAATGTCGTGTGTTTGCAAATGGTTTGATGAGATTGCCAAACGGATATTGTGGAAAGAGTTCTGTCGAACAAGGGCCCCGAAAATGATGCTGGATTTGCAGTCCTGTGGAAGTCATAGTGTCGATGGAAACTGGAAAGCACTTGGAAAGCTTCTCATCTATTGTTCAGGTTGCAGCCAGAGGGGCCTCTTTAATATCACTTGTGTCCCAGGTCACTTTGTGCACAGGACTAGGTTTTCGAGGACTTCAGGAAAGAGCTTTCTTATTCCGCAGTGCAGGACAGATGTCTTGTATGTGTGTGACCCTTGTGAACATCTAGATCAAGGTGATGATGGCGATGTAGGATTCTTCCGCGGTGTGTTCAAGTCATTTTCTGCTTCGAAGGTTAGAAAGATGCTGATCGAAAGGCAGGCCAAACTCCACTCCACAGAGGCGTGTCCATATTGCAAGGCAAAATTGTGGAACATGATGCAGGCAAAGATGATACCAAGGAGCGCTTGCATCAGGTTGGGTGCATACGATGATAGTGTTGAGTGTTATGTATGTCTGAATGGGCACATGCTTGGAACAAGCTCTCTCCTGCCACTCTCTGATTCTGACGAGGCATCTGACTTTGAACAGTGCTCAAAATTCGACTAAGGGTTGGTTGTCTTCCTCATGCTCTTATCTGAATGCCTTTACTAAGATTTTTTGACATTATTATGATATCAATGGTCGTATACCTAATGGTTTTAGATCTTGCTTAATAAGTTGTCAAAATTGCCAAAACTTAGGAAATGGGAGAAACTTTATCATAGAATTGGCTAATAGAATACCCATTTATATAAACACAGATCCTAGTTTGATTTCAATATGTATACATTTATTAATGTTCACTTCTTTTTCATTTAAGCTGGTTAGTTTACATGCCAAAGTTCTGAGGATAATGCATCTGCTAAAATTTGTTGACCCTCTTCTTCCAGATTTGTGGTAACCTCTTCTTTCCTTTGTTCTCTCCCTCCTCAGGATTTCCAAGTTCGAAGGGCAAAACTCTGTTTGCGAATCTTGGAGTGTTTTTGATCTGCTTGGTTAAGGGATAAAGAAAGGTAAGTGGCTGGATAGTTATCAGATCTCCATTTTATCATGTCGCAGGGAATGAAATAGCACAGGAGTTTGTTTAACTCCATGACATGGCAAGATGTTCTTTGCTCTCTCTTTCTGTTTTGTCTATTTAACTTACTAAACTTAGGTCATAGTTTGGTTATCTATGTCACCGAGTAATATGATGCTTCATATACAATATGTACAAATATCTGCTGCAAACAATAGCAGTTGTACGTTTGACAGCAAGACTTCTTCACATTTGAGTTATATGGTAATTGGTAAGATTGCCCTTTGTAAAGGGTTCAAGTCAAGGAAACAATTTCCTTGCTTACAAAGGTATATTTGCATACATTAAACCTCCACAGACCATACTATAGCTAGAGCCTCATGCACTAGATCGATGTTTTAGTTCGAATGGACTGCTTTTGCTATGAAGAGGTTGTTCTATCTATTGGCTGCATGCATCTTTCTAATTGAGGTTGCATATCTTTGATGAGTATGTTCTAGCTAGCATGAAATATTCTCCAAGTTCATATAGGGATTCCAGAATAGTTTCTCTCTCGGGAGTTCACGCTCATTCAGAGACCCAAATAGCTTTAAATTCTACAGAAAAAATATCATTCAGTTGTGCTGCTGGGCACTATGATTTTTGGTGATTTTCCAGTGTCAGCATTAACACACATCCATTCCAGTTGATCAAATCTTGTTTTGCTTCTTTTTCTATCACTAATCATGTCATTTCTTTATATTGTGAGATCTCTTGTTCCGTAGCTATTTGGAAATGCCTTCTGTGTACAATACTCCCTGTAATGCTCTTGCTTCTCCCAGTATATTCCCTTGAAGTTTTGTATATCGAAGATTCATCGATGAGATTATGACAGATAAAATAGATATTTGCAACGTAACAAAACTCTCAGAATTTATCTGGTGGTGTTACTTGCCTTCTAAGATAGTTGACATGCAAGGCCATACAGTTCCAAGATTGTTGGAAGAAGTGCAGGGATGCAACTCCATTCAGAATAGAAGCAGTAATAGAATGAACTACTGAATGGATCCTGGTCTGAAGAAAATATTCTTTTTATATTTTTACGCAAAGGCGAGGATCAGATTGAAAACTGGATTGATTGTTATTAGATTGATATGTTATATATTTGTCTGCAGGAAACATGGTTTTCAAGCGAAAGTCACTTGCATTGAAAGGTATTATGTTTGTAAGGTTGGCACATCATCATAGTGAACAGAGAAGAATGGATGCATTGAAACTAAACCTTGAAGCTTTACTGGGTTTTGGTGGAACTCAGTGTTCACAAGGACCAAGTTGGCGTATCGTCTGTGAACACTGAAATGAGTACGTAGATATACACTGGGGTCTGCATATTTAATGGTAATTTAGTCTTTCTCATAATGCAAACTATGATGGTAATTCGGCATGCTTTTGTCTTGATGTAAACGTGTTTATCGGTAATATACAGCTATAACAGAGAAGACCAAATTTTCTAGCTCTTCTACTATTTTCCCTTGGACGAGTGTCCTTCTACAACCTTAAGTTCTTAGTAATGGATCTTCTTCATAGAGACCGTCAGTAACATAAATGAAACAGGAAGTAGACAGCACATAAATATGATATATTGCTTCTTTGTAAAGAAATGAAAAGGCTGCACGAGTCGTATCTGATGCATTTCTACTCGGAATAATCAACAGAAAACATATAGCTAATTAAATACGTTCTTGCAATAGATAATAATAAAAGTATAGGAAAACATAACTTGTAAAGCTGATGAACGATCAAACTGAACTCACTAGAAGAACTCTGTATCAGTCAGTTCAAGCGTCTTATGCGTGCCCTTTTGCTTTGCACCAGGCTTGAATTGATTACCCTCGATGTACCTGCGTCCAACTTAGGTTTAAGAAACAATGCTGTTTATGCTATCGATTGAAGACAGGTTATCAAAAGAAGAAGCTTACAGCTCTTTCAAGAAGGGGTGCTTATATAAGCCATCTGGGATCCTCCCAGTAAACGCATTGTGGTCAAGATACCTAAACAAACATGAAAAGAAGATTTGAGTGTCCAACGATCGATCGATCAATTTTTGTTCGGTTTGTTAGGATTCGAGAGATTTTAGGCAGTAAACTCACAAGTACGTCAATCTAGGAATTTCAACAAGCTTGGGAGTTAGTTGTCCACTCATCTTGTTGTATGATAGGTACCTGCATGCAAATAGATAAAATAGGGATCTCAGAGTTCTTGGCTTAAATTGAATGTGCTCAAACAATAATGTGGCAAAACTTACAATATCTCTAGATTGGTCAAGTTTGAAATTTGATCAGGCAATGTTCCACTCAATTGGTTATTGTTCAGGTACCTATAAGTCTCATAGTTACACTAGATAGTATCAGAAAAGAGATGCTGATAGAGACAAGTTATGATACTCAAAAAGGTTGCAATTTAACTTACAAGTTACGGAGAGAAGGAAAACCATCTCCATTTCGGATGAATTTGCTTAAAGTTCCCGTCAAGTGGTTGTTACTAACATCACTGCAAACGGATAAATTAGTCAAATAATGGGTAGATTATAGTGGAACAATCTGAAAACATATTGTTAGCACGTAAATCCGGATCAGGAGAAACTCAATACAGGTGACGTAGGTTCCTGAGAATCCCCAACTCTGGAGGAATTTTTCCAGAAAAACGGTTCATGTGAAGATAGAGATAACGAAGTTCTGGTAGATCTGCAAGCTCCACAGGAATTTCACCTTTAAAGTTATTGAAACTCAGGTACCTGCAAATATTTCAAGATTGCAGACACCCAAAAAATATGCAAAATCTTCAAAAAAATAAAACAAATACACCTTAAATACTTACAAATGCGTCAATTTTTTCAGTTCACCAATTTCAGGAGGGATGATATCTTGCAGCTTATTCCATCTCAAGTTTCTAGAATCACCCCCAAAAAAAAGCAAGAAAAAAGAAAAAAAGTTTAGAAGAGGAGAATATCATTTTTGTATAACTTTGATGGAGAATCCTAGTACCAGACTAAGAAACCATCCTTGTATTACTGTCTATTTAATAGGAGTAAAAAATACCAATTAGCAATTTGACTTTGACAAGAAAACTTCTGCATGACACTAATTTGCTACAGCATGAACACAGAGTGCATTGATTCAAGAGTGGATCACCTAGTTTACATGATGCTATTCCATGACATGTGATAGGACAAATGGACATTTAGAAAACGAATTCAATGAAAGTCCAAATTTGAGATGATAAACCCACTGACCGCATGAGACAGGCAACTTTTGCATTGTCACATACCATAATCGAAGAAGATCACAGAATAAACAATCTACACATTGTATCCAAAAGTAGTAATAATAATCTAAAAGAACAGAAACTACCATACTCTGATACTACCATCTAGGACCATTCTTAGTGCTTTGTGCATTCCAATGTTTCCCGTGCACAGAAGTTTTATTTTCTATATCCAACACGAATTATTTTCAATAACATGTACTTTGTATCCTCCTATAAAAAAAGGCAAATAATTTTCTAGAAGGGTGCCCCTGTTATCGTCAAATCAATGTCCACTAAATGCTTAAGAAACTGAACTCCTTAAAAGACACACAGAAATTGTTCCACTAACTTGATGCATCAATAATCTAATTATATAAAGATGACATAAATCTAAATGCTTAACAAACTGAACTCCTTAAAAATCGGAGAGATTGTTCGACTAACTTGATGCATCAATAATCTAATTATATAAAAATGACATGAATCTAAATGCTGAAACAAGGATTCCAGAAGCACAACCTTTACAGAATCAATTAGGCAAGTTAACCATGAAGCCTGAGAGCATTCACAAGGACAACCTTTACAGGTCTAATTGCTGACCAGATTTACTGTCATTTTGGTTGGTAAGGTACATTAAAATTGATGTCCCTCAAGGAAATTCTTCTCTCTGATTAGTCACCAAAGACAAATATCACCTTGTCTTCTTATAAAAAACAGGATCATTTTTAATCAAATTCATCCATATTATTGTTTCAAATATGGAACAGAATTAAACAGAAAGGTTGAGCTTGCAAAAGAACAGAGTCAGTGTAAATATAGCAGCATATGCTGTAGGAAACACGGAATACCAAATTACAGCCTTAGACAAGAAGGAAGGAACATACAGTGTCTTGAGGTGCTTCAGCCGCCCAATTTGAGGAGGAATGGCCCCTGTCAACTTGTTATTATGAAGATCCCTGGCATTCAAGTAAATTTGAACAGTTATGCTTAATCCACTGCAATATGTGAGTTACAAGCTAACAATCTGGATGTTGCCTTCTCTGTATAATAGTTAAGATTCACAGAAAGCTTGTAACAAGCCAGTCATATGCTCTACTGTTTCTTCACCCACTGGGAAATATGGAAGGGTTGAAGGAGCTTATGATAAGCATGTCTTCTTTAGACTGTGTATTGTATAAACAAAGAGAATCCAATTTCATTATGCATTTCTATACAAGCCAGCCAGATCAAGTTTAGCAGCATATATCGACATAATTAACTGATATATTGATAGAGAGAAAAAAAAAAGAAATTATTCAGTAACATTAGCATCTATGTTTATAGGATACCTGCAGAACACAAACATTCATAGATTTAATTCAAACAATAAAGGGAGTGAACACCCTCTACATGTTTGCTGTCTCATTGTTTATTGTAAACTGGCATTCCAAGACTACATTTTAATCAGTATACAATGATGCAAAATACTGGCACCTGATTACATTATAAGGTAAACCTATGATGGAAGCTTGTGGCATTAAGAAGATAAATCACTAGGAAGAGTAACAACCAGTGGTTGCCGCAGTAAATATTTTGGTAACTCATAAATTGTAATTGATACTTGGAGAAGAGTTCATACAGTTTTGTCAGGTCCAGGAGATTTGTGACTGCTATAGGAAAAGGTCCAACAATTGATACAGCATAAACTTCCCTGCAAGTCAAGTAGGTCTAAAATATAAGCTTCACAGAACAAAAAAACTACAAGAACAATAGTCTTTGAAATTATTCTGTTCAACATAAAATAAATGAAACCATTATCTTCTTTAGTCATGAAAAACTCTCAATTCAACCCAAACTTTTAAAATGAATATCTTCTCTAGAAACACAAAAGCTATCAAATTAAATGTAACTTACAATAGCTTGTTGTTTTATTTATATTGAAGCAGTAAAACTAAGATATCAATTTCCCAAGTTTCTTAATAATGAGAACAATGTGCACAAAAATAGAATACTCTAGTAGCATCAAACTAACATAGGCCACATGTTGAGAAGGAATTGATGTCACTCATTTGTTATGATACAGCCTGATAGGATAACTGAGTCATTAACTTCGTTGAGCTTGAACTGACCTAAAATACTTAAACCCAAGTTAGTATAGTATACCTATCATACCCCTATAAACCAATCTAAGTCTTTGCCCACTTCTGATGTAAGACTGAACTGGGGTACCACAGTTTCCCCCACTTAAGGGTTTAACGTTCTTATCAAGACCCAACACCAATCATACCATAGCATGGTGCAAAGTAAGGTCTAACCTAGTGTTTGTCTCTAAACCATGATGTACCCTCTAGTCTTGTTCATGGATCGAATATTTTTTTTCTACTAAAATCCCTCAACATATCCAAATACTAAGTCAACTCTAGTAGCATTTGTCATGATCCAGTTTGATAGGATAATCATCCCATTAATTTCGTTGAGTTTGAACCATTAACTACAAAATGTTTAAGCCCAACCTAACAATAGTCTTTGCCAACTTTTGATGTGAGACTAAACTGGAGTGTTAAACATTTCCTACATGCATTTTACCATATTTCAACTATGTCACAATGTATATGGACACAGAAATGCTCCATTAGCATCGAATTAGCACAGACCACATGCTGGAAAGGCAGTGATGCAACTAGTTTCTTCTTTCACTCACATTTTATGTGGGTATGCATTGAGCAACAACCATAAAATCCCCTGAAAAGCCTTAAGGTTCTTTCAACCAAGGTTCGCAATACCGTACCGTACCGGAGTTTCTATCTGGGCTCGGTACCGGTACGGTACGGTATACCGCTCGGTACACCCAGGTGTACCGAGCGGTATATTCAGGCGTGACGAGCACTGTAGCAGTGCTACAGTGCTACAGTACTGCTACAGTGTCGGAACGGTAACATATGGTCCGCGTACCAGAAGTCTGGCGGACCGGTACGTACCGCCCGTACCAGGCGGTACGGATCGGTACTGCAAACCATGCTTTCAACAGTCAATTAAAATCATGTAGTGACATGATCATGATATATGGTTGCTATGGAGTGATAAAAAAATCACCAAAGCTGTGAGATCACATGAAATTGGAAATATTTATGTTAACAGTGATTTACTCTCATCATAAAATTGCTTGCAAGCTTAATTTTTATTCCCCAAAAATGGGCACAGCTACCTTATTCAAAAATAAAAATGATCAACTAGATCAAAATTTTCAGTATAATGATATGAGGACAACATAAATTATCAGTTCAGTCTTCTTCATAAGCTCAACTAAAGGCATCTACAACGACATTCAAAAGACAAATATTCATAATTGAAAATCGTTTTCCCCTACTATACTAGTATTTTTGCTTATAAGTTCTTGAGGTGTAGTTCATATATTAAAAATAGTCGAACAATGTCACATATGTTTTATTAAAAGAAGCACCATGACAACTATAAAAAAGGAAGGATTTTCCTCATGAGAACCAAAGTCTGCAGTTTATTAGTTGGGAAAGATGGATGCTTACAGTTCTGTCACAACCCTGTAATCTCCTTGTTGGGAACATGTAACCCCTGACCATGGGGGAAGATCACCATCGCCACATGGATCATCTCCCACCCATGCATAGACTACCCTCCATCCAAGCGAAGCCTTGATTTCATTCAATGCTTTTACTGCAAGAAATTTAGCTTAGAACCATAAGAACATCAATAATGTCTTCACTCTTTTATGATGTTCCATAATGAGCATCTCAACTTTATTAGATATCCGATTGTAAACATATTCATGTTGTTTCCATATGAGTCCGGACTTCCTTCAGAATTTATAAAAAGGATACATTTTAAAAAAATCCGGAGAAGTTATAGGTTGTTTGGTTATGGAAAAGATCTGCAGGGAAAATCTAAAAAAATGTATGGCGAGGAACGATACCACAGCAAACAAATGACCCGAGGTCAAGGTGGTGCAGCAATGATGAACTAATGTTGATGGTGGCTGCGACAATTGTGCTGGTTTATCCACAAATAACAATATGTTGGGTAAGTTAAGTTTCTTTTCTTTCTAAAGATTTCCAAAACTTAATATAATATTGGCAAATCCATCCAGTAGGCATTCAGATTATATTCTGAGTGCTCAAACAGACAGTCCTGGTGTAGTTACTAATCTCCTAGCAATCTTTATGACTGGAGTTATCCAACTACCATCTCATGGTTAGATGCTTGAAAATTTCTTTATGTAAATGAATCAAAATTCCATGAAATGAATTTTTTTTATATATTCTTTTCGTTCAAAAGAAAGGGCACTGCCTTAAATTCCTTCACGAGAAAATGAATCTGACTCGACAATCAGCAATAATTCTAACTCAGTGCCCCTATCTAGTTTTATTTGTATGTGAATTGTGAACAATTAACTGAACCATGATGACCAATTACGGATCTGACTATCCAATCCACCAACGAAAAAGGGACGATAATCACTGAATTCCGAACAATCTACCAAGCCAAAAAGCGGGTTTCGATTTCAACACGAAACTACGCGATTCGAACCAGTATCACTGAGATAATAACCTATTAGGATTTGGCGACAAAGGAGTACCGTCTCTCTTCACGGTTTTACAATGCCCCAGTCCGAGGAGGAGGAAGAAAGCGATCGAAGCCACTGAGGTCGAGGAACTCGCCATGGAAGATCTCGATCCCAGCAGGAACTATGGATCCCGAGCGGGTCGACGAGATCACGGTGCTCGTCGCGTTCCAAGACCCCTACCAGGCCCACACTTCTCGGAGTGGATCCTTCCACCATATTCGAACGCCCTGCGACATGGCACACGCCGCATCCCGTGTGCTTTAGCAAGGGGTTTTGTGCAATTTTGCCATTAAGATGGCGTTTTGCACAAAACTCCCTCTCGAGCTCTTTCTTGCAAACATTCTACACAATATTTCGACTCGTTCTAACATCTTGTGACCGTTCCAACATTTCCGGGGCTCAAATCATATTGCCGATGCATCTGCAGCTTATTTATAAGAATCAATCAATCAATCAAAGATTAACTATGAAGATTTGATGAATATGTTATTAATTTTATTTTAGTTTAGGCTTAATAAAATTAATAAGTTGATTAACCCATTTATTAGTTATAGATAGAAAGAATTAGTTATTTCATTTAATGCAATAAAAACACTCCATACAAAGTATAATGACAGAGGCACGATGACGGTGCAGTCACCTCTCCGTGTAACTGCAACATAGATCATCAAAGAAAAATATCCGGATAATAATAATGAAGGAACTACGTCTTGAACCTCGAAATCGAACCGAGTAATCTTCCAATTAGGCCGCCACAGCAGGCATATCCTTAAGCCATGGATCCAATGGCTTCCCGATCGAGTAAACCATGAATCCAATCTCCCTAAGCTTCTCGGGATCCACCACGTTGCGACCGTCGAACACAAAAGCGGGCTTCTGCATGTTCTCGTAGATCTTGGCATAGTCCAGCTTTCTGAACTCATCCCACTCGGTGAGGATGCAGACGCCATGCGCTCCCCTGGTGGCCTCATACGCGTCCCAGGTCACGGATACCTCCTTCACCGCCGTTGGGCTCATCGGCTGGAGATGGAGAGGGTGATCCCAGTCGAATTTGTTCATCGCAAGGTCGCGTTGGATCTGGTCCTCCGTCACCTGGGGGTCGTAGATGCTGATCTTGGCCTTGTCACCCAAAAGGCCCTTGCAGACGTCGATGGCCGGAGTCTCCCTCGTGTCGCCGGTGTCCTTCTTGAATGCGAACCCGAGAACGGCAATCTTCTTGCCGGCGATGGTGTTGAACATGGAGGAAACCACCCGGTTCACGAACCTGCTCTTCTGGTAGTCATTGATCTTGATGACTTGCTTCCAGTAGTTGGCCACCTCCGGGAGGCCATTGCACTCGCAGATGTAGACCAGGTTGAGGATGTCCTTCTGGAAGCAGGAGCCGCCGAATCCAACGCTTGCGTTCAAGAACTTAGGCCCGATCCTGGTGTCCTTTCCCACAGCAAAGGCCACCTCGGCCACGTTGGCCCCTGTGGCCTCGCAGAGTGCCGAAATGGCGTTCACCGACGAGATCCGCTGAGCTAAGAAAGCATTAGCGGCGAGCTTGGATAGCTCAGCAGACCAGAGATTGGTGGTGATGATTCTATCCTCGGGAACCCAATTGGCGTAGACCTCCTTCAGCGCCTGAACAGCCTTCCTCCCCTCCGGCGTCTCCCGCCCACCGATGAGCACTCGATCGGGGTTGAACAGGTCCTCGATGGCCGTGCCCTCTGCGAGGAACTCCGGGTTGGAGAGGATCTGGTAATTGATGCCCTTGCTGTTGTGGGTCAAGATCTTCTCGATGGCCTCGGCGGTCTTGACGGGTACCGTGGACTTCTCGACCACGATCTTGTTGGACTTGGAGACATCGGCAATCATGCGAGCCGCGCTCTCCCAGTAGGTGAGGTCAGCGGCCTTCCCGGCACCGAGGCCACGGGTTTTGGTGGGTGTGTTCACGGAGACGAAGATGATGTCGGCCTCGCTGACGTGCTCCTCTACGTCAGTGCTGAAGAAGAGGTTCCGTCCTCGGCACTGCTTGACGACGTCTTCAAGCCCCGGCTCATAGATCGGGAGCTGATCGCTGTTCCATGCAGCGATGCGAGTGACGGAGATGTCGACGACAGCCACCTCAATGGAAGGGCATTTCAGAGCGATGACGGCCATGGTCGGGCCACCGACGTAGCCGGCACCGATGCAGCATATCTTCACCATGTTTATGTTGCAGAGAGTCTGATCCAATTAGATGAAAATTGCAAACATTATATAAATTCCAAGTAAAAGTAATCCAGAAAGGAATTGATCATTTGCAACTATAATTCTGCCAGTGCAAATTAAGTGATTCAAACTAAAAGAACAGAAATTAAACAATGACAGGCAGAGTTAAAAGGTCAGGTATTGGTTGAAGGAAAAGAAAGCAGAAGTTGCAGCCTGGGAAGGAAACAGTCAGAAAGATTTGATGCATGTCAAGAAGAGTTTGAGAACACATGAAAATAGATCAAGTAAATTTCTGTTAGTAGATAAGTTTATTTCCCTTGAGAACGAAGACATGCAGATGATTCACCAGATCAAGTAAATTTCTGTCGGTAGAGAAGTTCTTATCCCTTTGGAACAAAGACATGCAGCTGATCACCAGATGGGAGTGATCAGATCTGAGAATTCACAATTTGGGAATGCCAAATTTTGAAGACCTTTAGATCTCAGACAATAAAAATCCAATCACATACTAGATTTGCATGCAGAGATCTGTACCGCAGTTGCTGCGATCCATGCAGGATTAAAGCTGCAGACTTAGGAAATATGCTGATATGTTCCTAGCAACGCCTTCCTATGAAAACCGACTCTTTTCTGAATCATCCTCCATTCTACAACTGTGAATTGGCAGAATGGAAGTAAAAGATCTGCCGATGCACGCGAAATCTTGCACAGAAAAAGGCAGATCTAGTCTTGTCCATAACAACCAAAGAACGGCGGCCAAAAGATAGACAAATGGCAAGGTAGTGATGTCGGATGCTTGACACTTATGGGACCATATCCACAATGGCCAGAACAAAAAAGGACAATGGAGAGTCAGCAACTGAAACAGAGAGAGTTACTTGAGATCAGGTGAGAACATTACCTTTCCAAGGAGACCGTCGCACCTCAGATTTCTGAGGAGGAGATAGTGTTCAGCTGGGACACAGGAACAGGAAGATCTTCTGAGATCCTTCCTGCACAGAATGGTCTGTGGGGATTCCCACTGAGGAAGAAGAAAATGGTCTGCAGCTCCTTAAATACTGAGATCTAATCCATCCCCCCTTCCCATTTACTCAGAACTCGAAGTCAGTGGCATCACTGGACCACTCCAAAAGCATCACATGATCTATCATGCAAAAACATTTTTTTAATATGAAAAATATGGATATGTGTTCTGCCACAAAATTCCTACAATTCCCCAAATAACAAACGAAATGAAAATGATAGGACAAATATTTGCATCAGAAAAAGGAGGGCTGCTGTCTCCAGAACAGTGGTCAGATGGGCAAAAACATGAAGTTTTGTGATTATAAGCTTCAAAACAGAATTGCCACTGCAGAAGAAAGGTTTAGCAGTGATGTGTTCTAATATAATTTTGGGAATCGATAAAGAATCTATTGTCAGTTCGAATCTATCATCAGCTTAATTCATCCTTCACTCATCCACGTGGATAAAGATTAAAAATATAAAATATAAAATTTCTTCTCGTTTATTAAGATAAAAAAAGATAATTATAAATTTTTTTCTATTTCTTTTATGACAAAGAAGATAATCTCGAACTCACTTCTCCTCTTTTATGACAAGGAAGATAATCACAAATTTTCTTTTCATCCTTTAAGATAGAAAAACATATCCTAAACAGAAAACAATGTGAAACTTTCTCCTTTCTTGAACTATTCCATATTTAGGAATAGAGAGACTTGATCGGAAAACCTCCTCCAACCCTAGTGTTTGTGTATGTGACATTAGGAGCATAATACTTCAACATCAGGAGCACAATACTTCAACCTTAGGAGCATAGTACTTCCACCTCGAGAGCATAATACCTTTACATCAAGAGTATAGTACTTCCACCTCGGGAGCATGAGTTTTTATCTTAGAGATACTTTGGACAATCCTATACATATGGGTCCGGACCATGTTAGACTGACCAAGACATCAACAATATTTTTTTTCTAATATTTGGCACAGGACCCATTATTGTAAGAATGTCTATCTACCTACCCTCTCAAAGGATACTTTAACGAAGAGGCCATCTGTGAACAAAGATTAAAAATGGAGAAACACAAGCTTCCTTCTCGTTCATTATGATAAGAAAGTTAATCATAAATTTTCTTTTCTTTCTTTATGACAAGGTAAATAGTCTCAAACTCTCTTCTCTTCTTTTATAACAAGGAAGATAATCACAAACTCCATTTCCATCCTTGAAGATATAAAATACATTCTAAATAGGTAAATAGGAGGGAGCTTTCTTTTTTCCTGAATTACTCGAATCCACATTTAAGGACTTTAGATTACTAACTTAAGAGTCGAAGGGATTGAGTTGAGAAATCTCCCCCAACCCTAGTATTTATATAAGTGGCATCTCTAGAGCATAATGCTTCCACCTTGAAAGCACAATATTTTTATCTTAGGAGCACGGTGTTTCTATCCAGAAGATATTTCACATAATCCTACGTGTATGTGTATAGGTTCATATCATATTAGATTGATCAATATTTGAATAATATTTTTCCTTAATAACAAAGGAAGTAGGTATAACACGGATATTCCGATAGTGGTTATACAATGACAGAAGAACCAACGTGTTCTTAATATTGATAAATAAATATTCCAAATTTGCTTTTAATCCCACAGCAGTATACAAATAAAAAAAAGATTCTAAAAATGACATATTTGATATAGCCAAACAAATGAGGAAAATCATTTCTTAAAAAAAAATAATAGATATAAGGATAAAAAACTTGAAAGCACATAAAATAACTTTTTTAATTAAAATTTTAAGGGTGATTTATCTAAAAAATACCCATATTTTAGGTTTTTCCTAAAAGGAACCCTCCTTTTATTTTTTTTTTCAAATAATACTCCTAATTAAAAAAATATCCAAAATACCGCTTAAAAGTTTTCATGTTAAATTTTTTTTGTTAATTTTTTAACTAGTTTTCAACTGGTATAATATTTTTATTTAACACATTTATAGTATTTTTCAATAGTATTTATAGTGTTTTATTAACGTACTGAAAAT